AAACAGTGGGGGGGGTGAGGAGTGGGGTGAGGAGTGGGGGGGGGTTCTGTGATGTCATTAGGCGCCGTGCGTCATCAGTGTTCTAATTTTACTTGAGGAAGAGCAGGCTAATGAGTGAACGCCGCTGCGAAAACTTGAAACCGCTGTAGGAAAAATGTGTAAGAAAAATGAACACGGCGCTGAGCTCTGACATGGTGTCGACGTGGACCAATCAGAGCCGGTGTTCTCGGCGAGATCATGGCTCGATCCCCTCTACAGTTTAAAGTTTTAACGAGAGTCAGTTCCATTTATTTTATTTTTATAATTTTTATTTGCATCGCTTTACAGCTTTGCCACCTCCACTAGGTGGCGCCCTTGCAAGCTGTTTCCAACGGAGATTGTAAAAACCGTAGACAACACAAAGGGACAAATTGTTGTCCAGAGCAGCGGTTCTCAAACTGTGGTTCATGTGAGATTTGTGCTACTTGAGCTCCCTCTAGTGGTGAAGCAGGGAAATTTGATCCCCATTCGGTTTAGAAGAGTAACTTAGATGGGTTTTTTTTTTTGGTTTCTGGTTTGTGGTGTGTATGTGCTGGTTTTATGTTGTTAAAAATATGTGGTGTGTGTGCTGGTTTTATGTTGTTAAAAATATCAAACTAGAACTTCTTTTTTTTTCGTTCTGTCACCGTCATGATTTAGTTGTTCAACCTTTCGGGGTCAGTTCTGTGCCTGGTTTTCCTCCGGCGTTCCGGGCCGACCGGTCTCTCAGTGACCCACCAAACTGATGTTCTTCTAAATTATTCAGGTTTACAAATAAACAGCAGGTGGTGAGAACAGATCTGGCCCGGTGTGCGGGAGGCAGAAATGGGTCAGTGTTATTCTAGACACTCACAGTCGCACTGGCTGTGCAACAACAGTCGGAGCTACAGCGTCGGCTCCTCTGGGTTCGTTCTTCTTCTTTTTCCACTTCATTCATTCGTCTTCCACCACTCGGGAGGGAGGGGGTGAGGGAAGGGGAGGGGGGGGGAGTCAGCAGTTAGACGTCTCAGGACAACCATGTGTCATTCACACCTACGTTCACACTTCCTGGACGATTTAGCGTAAACCGTTCACTCCGTCCTCGCGGTTGTGGACGGTGGGAGGGAATCTAACCAGCAACCTGGTGGTGGTGGTCATGTCGACCACGGTTTGACACCAGTGAAAGGGAACTTTGAAAATATTAAAAAAAGAAATTTGCAATTTGACATTTTTTCTACCGTAACTAACCCTGTAGATCCTCATGACATCATCGATGACATCACAGTGATGTCAGATAAAATTAAAAACACTAAAATAAAAACACGTTGATGGAAAATGTATCGTGTCGAACCAGCTGTGTCTGAAGCCCCCTCCTGACCCCTCCTCACCCCTCCACCCCCTCATGTGTACTCAGGCCTTCAGACAAAAAAAAACGACCAATTTAGCCTTTAAAGATCAATGGCGTGTCAGGAGAACCCATTTGGATCCATTTGCGGCGTAAACTGTAATCACCAACAGAAAAGACGGCTTTCAGGGACGTCAATAGCGCCAACCAGTGTTGATGGAATGAAGGTTGACGACTGAATAGTGAGCTAATCACAGACTCTGGCTGTGTCAACAC